AAAAAAAAAAAAAAAAAAAAAAAAAAAAAAAAAAAAAAAAAAAAAATATATATATATATATATATATATATATATATATATGTATGTTTAACCAAAAAACATATTATCCACTAGTTTAGATAGGGTTATAGTAGTTAAGAGTTCTAACTCGTTAGAACATAGTATTCAATAATAAGACTCTTACATTAGTTCTGTTTGACAGACTTAAATAATATCAATGAATTTGATATATTTGGCAGACTTGAACAATATCGACGAATTTGTTTCTTTTTTCTAGTTTCACACCTTACAGATTTTTAATAGTATTGATGGATTGATTGGTATTAAACTCTTGGCAGAATACATCAACAGCCCCACAAACTTACCAAAAATTTTCATTTAGATACCTTGTCCAAGGGCTTGACCCATTGAAAACCTAATCTAACTAGGGAGGAATTAGATAAAGGACTCATCTGTATGCCATTTATATCTAAAAAAGATCAGTTGGCCGATGTTTTAACAAAAGGACAGCCAAATAATATGTTCAAGACCTGATAAGCAAGCTAGAATGGAAGATATTCATGCACCAGCTTGAGCGGGAGTGTCGAATGATAGAGGATTTCCAGAAGATATTCTCCATATCAAGATCTGATCCTCTAAGATTTTAGGGATAATTGTTGTAATCTAGAATATCAAATTTCTGATTATTTTTGTGTATTTTACATGATTCTATATAATCCCAGATTTTATCGGATTTAGGTAATTCTGCTTCTCAACCTTTTTGTATATAAAGCCATGTATATGACATTGAAAGATATGAATGAGATTATTCAAGTATCTTACTCTTTCCACAATTAATACTAGTAGTGACTGGCATCAACTTCTCAAATTCCTCCATGATTGCCTGTACATGTTCCAAATAAGTAGACATATTTAATGCATTCTTATTTAAGTTAGTCAAAAGAGAAATCACATCACAAAAATGAAATGTCATTAGTTATAATGAAAAAAATGGATATTGGACCTAACTCAACCTGAAAAGCTAGCTCATGAAATGAGGAAGACCGTATAAGAAGCCTAATACTTAATCCCACAACCGATGTGGGAAACTCACCCCCCCCCTCCCCCCTCCCCTCACCTAGGACTAGACATCTGGAGTGTGGGCAATATAACATGGGGACCTAATATCAAGTAAACTAAGAATTGGGATGGATCCGGCTCTGATACTATGATAAAAAATGAATTTTCGGCTAACTCAACCCCAAAAGTTAGCTCATGTGGTGAGGATTGCCCAAAACCTAGTCTAATATTTAATCCTACAACCAATGTGGGAAACTCAACATATAAAAGTGAGCTTTTCTATATCTGGAATGGAGAAAACAAAGCCTTCAACTTTGAATCAATAGATCACCACAAGTGACTATATAATTGAGCATCAACATTCTCTCATACTGCTCAAGTCTTCTCATCAATCTCGGTGACCCTTTTAGTGAAGTGATCTTAGACACCACAGACTCTTGCACCGTAACTCAATAAAGGAAGCCCAAGTTAAATAGTTTAAAGTCCCAATTAACGGTTCCGAAGTAATCATAAGACTTGAATTTCTGAATCCTATGTTGTTGGAACCAAAGAATCCAAACACATCAAACTTGAAAGACATGGTTGAATTGAGAGTTCTAATCAAACAAATTAGTAACTAGGAGGAAATCGATAACAATTCTTCCAGAGAAGTCATTGGGAAGTGGCTGGCTACAGTAGGTAGCCTGAAGATTGTAAAAAAATCACTAGAAAATTCTGAAGGTCAAGAAGAGGCCTCTAGTAGCAGAAAGTGTTGCTAGAAATAGAGAGTCATCAAAAAGTTGGCTGGCAAAGATGGATCTCAAAAACCAGTGGTCGGAATTGGCTGTAAACTAGATGGGTCAGGTCGGGATGGAATCTCAACAACCAGTGGTCGATATTGGCTAGAAACTAGATGGGTCAGGTCGGGATGGAATCTCAACAACCAGTGATCAGAATTGCATAGAAACTAGATGGGTCAGGTCGGGATGACCAAGTGACCCCAAGGAACAATGACTACTATGGAGATGGCTGGAAAGTGCTTTACGTGCTTGGCGCATGGTCTTAACATGGCACCAGAGATCTTACTCTTGCTAGTGTGTGGCAACATATGAGCAGTCAGCTAGTTTATTGGCTTTGGCCGCCAAAAGGTCCCGAACCCCGTGACAGTGTTGGTTTTCGCACAACACTCACGAAACAGATAGTTGACGCAAACAACCCTGAAAGTCACCGGAAAAAATGTGCATTGACTAGCTTTTCCTTTTCCAGACACGTCGCTGGTGAGTCCATAGCGAGAAATTTCTCACCAGGCTATCATACCACGTGAGAAATAAAGACACAGGAGAAAAGATTATGGAGATGTATGAAAACAATTGTCTTATGTTGAGCCCTTTATCCAAACTTTACGTAATAGATAATCATGTTTTCCCAATGTTGTGACACTAACATTAAGCATAACTATACACATTTTAACTATGTACATTAACTATCTAACAAGTATATAAGGTAGATCTCGCTAATCTCTAGATCACTTTCACAACATGTCTACACTACCCCCAGTACTTAAGTCTCCCTCCTTTAGTCTGCTCTTGTGCCCGTTCTTCCTGTCTTTTCCATTCTTTTTTTTCTAAAATTTTTGTCCTTCCATTCATTTTTTTTTTAATATTTGTCCTCTTCCTACTTGGTTCTGTTCAGAAGAAAATAGATGGGAAAGAAAATGAACCAGGACAGAGAAAAAATAGAGAGAAGAAGTCTTTGACATGATGGAAACTACTCTAGTACTCTGTCCGAAGGCCATATTAAGGTGATCCCTACGCATCCTAAATCCCCACACAAGAAAAGAAGAAAAGTAGCCCAAAAAAAACAGAAACAAAACCAGCAGCTTCTTTTAATCCTCGGTAATGGATAAAAAGCATTAAACACATAAATGAATCTCAAATAGCTGTCCATGCTACACATATGACACATTTAGCTAAGGTTTCCATAGTTCTAAAGTTTGATATTTTCAGTTTGGGTGAATGTTTTTACTTGATCTCAATTTAGTTCAGAGGCAGAAAAGTATTATCTAAGCTAAACATTATCACCCCATTTAAGCTATTACCTAGTATTAGATTCAGAGAAAAATTAAAGGTACTGTTTCTGCTACTTAGGTCATAGATCCCAAATATTAAGAAGGAAAAAAGCATAATTAAAGTAATAAATAAATATAGACAGGAGAAATTCCAGTGATGATTCAAGAAAGACTTAAAAACCATTGTAAGTACACCCCATGGAAAAATCATCAAAACGACCTTAAACTAAACAAGCTGGAAAGTCAATACAATGAAAGATATACTTTTAAGTATTGGTGATACAAGTAGATGTGAATGAAGCCATGTTCTTAATAAACATCAAAGTATACCTGCAAGCATCTTGCCCGCTTCCCATGCATAGTCAACTAAAACAGAGCAAAGCTCCTTGATATCATGTGGGTGGATTAGGTCTGCTAACAGGGACCTACAACAATGAGGCAACAATTAATCTGCTGAAGGAGCAGTGGGTGTTAATTTCTCAAGGGTAGTTAGCAGTACCGGTAGGTAAACTTTGAAGGACCTAATGCTGCAGCATTACCAAAGCGAGGACCAGGAATAGAAGACAGCGAAGATGGTGAAACTGAAGCTTTGATTTGGCTTTCCTGTATGGTATGATTTGAGTTCACTAATCAACTATTATCACAAAATATTAAGCCAGAGCTACAGCAAGTTGTTTCGCCTGCTTAATAGATAGCATAGAAACACTGATAAATGATCACAAAATCAAGTAAAACAATTTCTTGTTGTTCATTACAAATTCCATGTCTTATAATGAAACCTATAACCTTTAATCCTACTCTATTATTATCAGAACAGACCCCATGCCAGAATATGCAGATGAGATGCACAATTGAGAAACACGTCAAGTTGAATTGGATAACAGTTATTGTTTACCTGTTGAAGTTGACCGAGCCTATAAACAGGGTCTTTAATCATTGACCCAAAGAACAGCTCGTGAGCCTTTCTTTTCTTGTTCACTGGAGGCGATCCATAACCAGAGGATCCAATGGCACCAGTTATAGCAGCATTTGCTGCTTGCTGGAGATATGCCATGTTGTTGGCATGATCTCCATGGAAAAGAGCCTGCCTTTCTTGGCTTCCTTCAAAATTTTTGCAGTCCATGCATTTACAATTTTCAGAACAAAGAATGTTGGCTTGGAAGCACTCACAGTACTTCTTAAGGCAACCTGATTTCTTGCAGTGGCAGCCTTTATTATGCTTTGGCAGTACTAAGCCATCCCCAGCTTCCTCCTGCATAGATTGAAGATCAGTTCTAAACTGTCATAGAGGACAGAGACATGCAAGTTTTTTCAGTACAGCAACAAATTACAGTTGCTGTTTGTAATCCATTACAAGCAAACACATCAAGATCCGTCTCTTCAGAAACTTCTTGCATGCAACAGTTCTAGATAATCCACAAAATTATAGAAAAGAAAAGAAAAATCACTTGGGTCATCTTGGAAATCAACACTATCACAAAAAGGAAAAGCTAAAAAATTAGGAGTAATAACACAAAGCAAGAAGCATAAAGTGAAACGAGAAGAACAATACTGCCATAATGCCTGAAACTAGGAGAAAACTCTAGTCATCAAAAATAAATATTAGTATTTTGATGACTCAAATTCGTTTGCTTCTGTTAGACAAATACTGCATTTCACGTGCAGTTAACCAAGTTCACTTTGATTCTTAGATTGACCAGTTTGGAGACTGATATTTGACTTAATTTCTCAAAGTTCAGAGAATAACAGGAGGCCTATCTAACTACGATTGAAATACAAGGATAAACAGTTTTTCTTTGTTCATTCCGCTTTTTATGCTTGACCAAGGTGCCAACAAAAAAGTACTCCCTCCGTTTCAATTTAGATGATGTAGTTTGACTTGGCAAAAAGTTTAAGAAAGAAGAAGAAGACTTTTGAAATATGTGGTCCTAAAAGCTTAAGGGGCAAAAGTTTTGTGGGGCTATGATATTTGTGTGACTATAAAAGCTTCTCATTAACAGTAAAGTGTTTAAAATGAAAAGTTTAAAATTAAATTGTTTCTAAATAAAAAAATGTGTCATTCTTTTTTAACGGACTAATAAGGAAAGTGTGTCGTTTAAATTGAAACAGAGGGAGTAACATTTTTCCCATGGTGGGCATTGAGGGATACAATACTGAAAGGATAATGGAGATGAAATGGATCTTTGGGTACATTGCAAGATCACTAATCAGCTTCAAATTCTTGCATTATCGTTATTTAATATTTCTTGGGTCCTACTAAAGTCTGTGGGAAAAGCAGTTACGAGCTCGAATGTTAAGAAGATTAGCAAAGAGAGAAGGTGATTTGGAAAACCACACCATCATGTACTTTTTGGATTATCTGGAACAAAAGAAACAGGATAATTTTCCAAATCATATAAAGGATGTAAAGAGTTTAAGAAAATAGTTTTATTTCATTTACTCTTTTGGTGTAAAAAGAACATTTCCGCATGTACAGATGACCAGGATAGCTTGATAGATATTTCTGGTTAAACCAGTTACATAACTTTCATATAGTATTGCACCATTTCAGTTTGTTACTAAGACCAGAACTTTATTTACCCACCCCACCTCACGCACCCAAAAATAAAAAATTGAAACAGTTCCACAGACAAGAAACTATACATCAACCAGAACCATATACCAAAGATACTTTCAGACCTCATACAGAATTAAATAAGGATAATTTCATCAATGCTTCAGATTTTAATGATGCATCATCCATGAATTTGCTTAAATTTAAAAGAATACCCTATTTTCTCGAACTCCATGTGGACTGCTGGCAATTTTAGGCCTGAATGCATGCGGATTACGCTCTAAAGTAGCTTCAACTGCCTCTCGCCTAGCAGGCTCATTTTCGACATTATTATGACAATTGGCACAGTTGCATCCATCACAGTATATGCCAGAAGCAAAGCATTCACAATACCTGATCCAAAATTTAACAAAAAATGTATAGAAGCAATCAAAGATAATCACAATGCAAATGTAATGCTACGCAGGACTTCAAGTCATGCAAACTTTTTCAGCAAAAGATCTTGACAACGGTTGAGCAACTGAAGGGAAAAATAAAAGGAAAAACTGTGCTGCCAAAAGCAAAGAACGAAAACAGATAGTTACCTAACAAAAGAAGTAGTTGTCTAGAAGACACTTAACCATCCCTAAAGAAGAAAAAACCTGCATATCCCCTAATATCATCATCTAAAACTGGGATCTCAAAAAGGAAAAGGCTAAGAAGCAATGGCAAACAGGAATATATTGAGAGCACCGTGAAAAAATACGGGAGAAAAATATATTTTATTAATGTACTCTATTAAGTGTTTACAATAGTCCTATTTATAACTATATACAATACATATTTTGCTCTTATTCTATGTGGCACTAGGGTTATTTACATAACTATCTAACAATCCCCCTCAAGCCGGTGCATACAAATCATATGTACCGAGCTTGTTACATATGTAACTAATACGAGGACCAGTGAGGGACTTGGTGAATATATCTGCAAGCACATCATTCGACTTCACAAACTTTGTAGCAATATCAACTGAAAGTATCTTTTCTCTGATGAAGTGACAGTCAATCTTAATGTGTTTAGTTCTGTCATGGAACACCGGATTTGATGCAATATGAAGGGCAACTTGATTATCACACACAAGTTCCATTTTGCTGATATCACCAAATTTCAGCTCCTTGAGCAAATGTTTGATCCAAACTAGCTCACATGTTGCCACAATCATTGCTCGATATTCTGTTTCTGCACTAGACCGAGCAACCACATTCTGGTTCTTGCTCTTCCAAGACACTAAATTACCTCCTACTAAAACACAATATCCAGACGTAGAACGTTTATCAGAAGGTGATGCTGTCTAGTCAGCATCTAAGTATCCAACAATTTTCTCTTGGCCTCGATCTTCAAACAATAACCCTTTACCTGGAGCTGATTTTATATATCGAAGAATGCTGACAACTGCATCTCAATGACTATCACAGGGAGAATCGATAAACTGACTCACCACTCTCACAGGAAAGGAAATGTCAAGTCTAGTCACTGTGAGGTAATTTAATTTACCAACCAGACGCCTATATCTTGTAGGATCGCCAAGCGGCTCCCTCTGTTCTGGCAGAAGTTTAGAATTCAGATCCATAGGAGTGTCGACAGGTCTACAGCTTGTCATTCATGTCTTCTCAAGAATGTTTAAGGCCTACTTCCGTTGTGAGATCACAATACCTAAGCTAGACTGAGCGACCTTAATACCCAGCTAATACTTTAATCTGCCCAGATCCTTAGTCTGTAAGTGCTGAAAGAGATGTTGCTTCAACTTAGTAATACCATCCTGATCATTGCCGGTAATAACAATATCGTCAACATAAACCACCAGATAAATACTTAGATTTGAAGCAGAATGTCGATAAAGCACAGAGTGATCACCATCACTATGAGTCATGCCAAACTGCTGAATAACCGGCTGAACTTACCAAATCAGGCTCGAGGAGACTGCTTTAGACCATAGAGGGACTGGCGCAACCGACATACAAGGCCACTAGACTCCCCCTGAGTAACAAAACCAGGTGGTTGCTCCATATAAACTTCATCCTCAAGGTCACCGTGAAGAAAAGCACTCTTAATGTCCAACTGATAGAGAGGCCAATGGCGAACAACAGCCATGGATAGAAATAGGCGGACTGATGCTATTTTAGCCACGAAAGAGAAAGTATCAATGTAATCGAGCCCAAATATCTGAGTATACCGTTTGGCAACAAGACAAGCCTTAAATCGATCAACCTGGCCATCTGGACCAACTTTGACTGCATACACCCGACGACAACCAATAGAGGAACAAGCTCCAAAGTATCACTCGTATGTAAAGCAGACATCTCGTCAATTATAGCTTGTCGCTATCCTGGATGAGACAATGTTTCACCTGTAGACTTAGGGATGGAAACAGAGGACAAAGATGATACAAATGCAAAACGGGGTGATGACAGACGATGGTAACTTAAACCGACATAATGAGGATTAGGATTAAGTGTGGACCATATACCTTTCTATAGTGCAATCGGTTGACTAAAAGGAGACAGGTCTGTAGTATTAGCAGGGTTAGTATAGGTGCAGGACGTGAATTAGCTGGGCTTGATTCTAGCCGCGGACGACGATGATAAGTCAAGGGTGGTGGAGCTGTAGAAGGTTGAACTGACTAGGTGGTGGAACTGGAGCTATAGGTGGTGGAGCTGGAACTAGAACTGTAGGTGGTGGAGCTGGAATTGTAGAGGAAGATGAATGGGAGATAGTGGCTGAATCTCCAAAAGATGGAACTGGTAGCACTTCAAAAATATCTAAGTGATTAACTAGACCTGTGAAGTATGATTGGGTTTCAAAGAAGGTAACATTAATAGACATGAGGTACCGTTGGAGGTCAGGTGAATAGCATTGATATCCCTTTTGCGTTCTCGGGTAACCTAGACATACGCACTTAAGAGCATGAAGAGCTAACTTATCTTTTCATGGAATAAGGTTATGAACAAAACACGTGCTCCCAAAGACACGAGGTGGAAGAGAGAACAAAGATGAGTGAGGAAACAAGACAGAGAATGGAACCTGAATAACTGAGGATGGCATACTATTAATAAGATAGCAAGATCTAAGAATTGCATACCCCCAAAAACACAACGGATCACGAGATTGTATGAGTAGGGTACGAGCAGTTTCAATAAGATGTCTATTCTTTCTTTCAGTACCCATTTTGTTGGGATGTGTACGGACAAGATGTTTGATGAATAATCCCATGAGAGTTCATAAACTGCTGAAATGAATAATCCTAGATACTCTAAGGCATTATCACTACGAAATGTGCGGATAGAAACACTAAATTAATTTTGAATTTCACGTGAAAGGTCTGGAAAATAGAAAACAACTCAGATCGATTTTTCATCAAAAATATCCACGTGCACTTGGAATAATCATCAATGAAAATGACAAAGTAGCGAAATCACAAGGTAAAACTGACCCGGCTAGGACCTCAAACATCTAAATGGACTAAAGTGAAAGGTGACTCTGCTCGATTATCATAACACCGAGGGAAATGAGAGCGAGTATGCTTACTGAGCTAACATGACTCACACTCTAGAGGGGACAAGTGAGATAAACCAGGTACCATTTTCTGAAGTTTTGACAAACTGGGACATCCTAACCGTTTATGTAATAAATTTGGTGAATCAGACAATTTGTTGAAGGAAGACAAAATGTGAGTTCATGTGATTTAGTAAGGATAAGGTAATAAAGTCCATTTGATTCACGCATGGTACCAATAATCCGCTCCGTACTGCATTCTTGTATAAAAACAAGGTCATCAAAAAATAAAACAGAGCATTTAAGTGATTTGGCTAAGCGACTAACGGCTATGAGATTAAAAGAACTATCGGGGACATAAAGAACTGAATCTAAAGGTAAGGAAGGAAGTGGACTTGCTTGGCCGATTCCAGTTGCCACGGTTTGAGACCCGTTGGCCATTGTGATATTTGGAAGAGATTGAGAACATGAAACGGAAGTGAAAAGAGATTTGTTACTAGAAATATGATCAGATGCACCTGAATCAATGACCCAAGACTTGGAGGTTGAAGATTGAGAGACACAAGTCAAGCTACTATCTGTTTGAACAACGGAAGCAATCTCTGAAGATGTCTGTTTACATGCTTTGTAGTGAAGGAACTCAATATAATCTAGTAGAGAAACCATCCAACTATTCATAGCATTAGTCCCATTTTGCTACAACCAATTTCTCAAATTCTTGACTAAAAGTTGTATGAGTTGAAGAGAGGTCTAGCACCACTGTAGCTCCCAGAAATTGTGGCTTGCAAGAAAAAGGAACCAGCCGCTGGAACAGTCACCGAAAACTTCAAATAGATTGTCGGGAAAAAAAAGTCGTCAAAATTAGGTGTAAATTGGCTGGGTAGGGTCGGATTGCCTTGGGAACAAGCTATCCTGAAGAAGCTAGCCAAAAAATAGCCGGAGAAGCACGCACGCACTGGCGCGTGGGAAAGACAGCGGAGTCACATATTGGACCGGTGTAGAGGTGCGTGAGCTGTCAGTTGCCGGAGAATCTGAGTGGGATTTGGTCGCCGGAATTTTCTGAGTCTAATGGTGGTGTTGGTTTGTGCAAAACACTCACCAAACGTGAGATGACGCCATTCAGTCTCTTAGGTCACCGAAAAATTGCACGGTGACTGAGTTCTTTTTTCCCGGATGTCGCTGGAATGACGCACAACGATCTTTCCTCATTGATGCTCTGATACCATGTGAGAAAAATATATTTTATTGATGTACTCTATAAGTATTTACAATAGCCCTATTTATAACTATACAAAACACATATTCTTCTCCTTTTCTATACGGGACTAGGGTTATTTACATAACTATTTAACAACCTCTATTTATCATAATTAGCAACAGGTAGCTTCTGTTTTATGTCTGCTGAATGATTTGATTGCGACAACGGACAGGTGGAGAAGAATTATTCAAAACCACCATTTGTTGAAAAAATACAACTTAGTGATGTTTATGTCCTTCAGTGGTGAAAGAAAATAATGTGTGTATATCATTAATGTAGTCATAGGAGCTCATTTCGCTAATCCAAGGATAGGCTTGTAAGAATTAAAACACAGCAGAACTCCTCATGAGACTTCATATTAGATGAACTAGATCAATTTTCAATCCAAGGCCTTCCAACCTGGAGGACCAGAATAAGTGAACATGAATAATCCATTCAAAATAACAATTTAAATATGGAATATCACTTCGAAGGACACTGTCAATTATTGGGAACTGATTATCAAATTCCATATGATGGATTTGTATTCTTTTATTACAAGAGAATGCTAAACCATGTCACTCTAAAAGCGTGAGAAACTAGGCAATTATTGATCCCAAAG